TGCTGCCCCAGCGAGCGGCTGGCCCGCGGGCCGGGGTCGTGTCGCGCTCTCCCCTCGGGAGCTGCAGATCCCAGCGGCTCCGGGGCTAAACACGGAATCAAGGGGAGCTGTGCTCGCCTTCCTGGTGTCTGTAGCAGGAGAAATGAACCCAAATTCATCTCCACATCCCATGTCATGGCTGTAGTACAGCTACTACATGATAACCAGGTGGATTTTGCTCCTTGCAGTGTCTAACATAGGTAACTGCACATTTTATTAATACGTGCGCTGTTCTTTGATCAGCTGTTGTGCACTGAGTTCCCTGACATAAAAGCAGGGTTAAATTATCTCAAATGAGTGTCCAAATGAATCCATAATGCATCGAATATATTAGTCAATCACTTTGCTAGCCTTTAAAGTACTCTGGCCGTACACTGCCAGTGATGAAAGTGGAAGGTCCGAGCTTTCTTTGTAAGGGAAAGACTTAAACTTTTCCCTCCTCTCAGTTTCTACAACAGAATGTTCCATTCTAAAATGTAATTTTGGAATTGTGAATGTAAGTAAATTGATAATGGGCAAATATTATTGTGCTCTATTGTGGTAGCTGGCATTTCTTCCTGGTTTGTTGGGTAAAGTAGCAGGAAGATTAATTTTCTTCCATTTGTATTAGGAGCAAGTTCTCTTTGCTTTTCTTAATTAGTTCAGGGACACCAGGAAGATGTGCAGTGCATGTTTTTTGGTTGTTTTGTTGTTTTTTTTTGACTCTGCTGGAGGTACTTTTTGAAGAGGTTTGGAATTTCACAGAATCAAATGAAATATAGCCATTGCCATTGGTGAGGATGCAAGGCTTCCTACAAAAACAGATACGCAGATGGATAGAAAAGAGTAGTAACCTTCTGTCTGCCTGAACAGCAGGATTGAGTAAACTGCAGAACCACCTGACACTGCCAATTGTTTCCCCCAGCCTCTCCGACTGGACATCAAGCGGAAGCTGACGGCCCGCTCTGACCGGGTGAAGAGCGTGGACCTGCACCCCACGGAGCCATGGATGCTGGCCAGCCTCTACAACGGCAGTGTCTGTGTTTGGAACCATGAAACACAGGTGAGGGCTTTTCACACAACAAGTGTGCCTTATTGTGAAATGTTCATGACTCACAGGTGTGTATCTAGTGCTGAGAAACTGAATTTGTACAAAATCCTGTCACTGCCACTAACTGACTGTGCTCTCCTCTGGCTCAGTACAAGAATCACTGTATTGTATCAGTGGACAAGGAAGTGACATATTGGATATGGTTAGGAAAGTAGAAGGAGCTGGTTTCAAAATCTGTATTTTCTCCAGTGCTATAAACTTAACTTTTTTTATTTTCAGACTCTGGTGAAGAATTTTGAAGTGTGTGACCTGCCTGTGAGAGCTGCCAAGTTCGTGGCAAGGAAGAACTGGGTCGTTACTGGAGCTGTAAGCTGCTCTCCTCGTGTGATTTCCTATGCAGCTGCATGTTCTCTGATTAATTGTCATGCCGTTACTTTGTGCATCACTTAATAATCTGATATGATATGAATTTGTAGAGGGGAAGGGAATACTTCACTACAGTTTCTCAGAAGTTTTCTCCTTTGAAGGAAGCTTAGAAACTTAAATGTTTCATTTCAAATGGAATTCAGCTTTTACTGCCAGCTGGAGCATACCCAGCACACAGTTCTGACTCAGTATCAGAGGTGCTACTTTAACTAAGATGAAACTATTGGCAGTCCTAGGTAAGATGAATTAAAAATTGCTTTCTATTTTTGTTATTGGTTATATTAAAAATTATTTTTTTTTATTTTGCTCACCACTAGAAAAAAATGTCTGCTTTTATTTGGTGAATCTATCCTGAGAGCAATAGTTGTGTTCTGATCTTGCTAACCCTTTATTTTTATGGAGTGAATATTTTTTGGCTAAATTAAGGTAATGCCTAAATATTTTTCTCTCAACTTTCATTTTCTAGTCTTCTGCCCTGTACATGGAGTAAAAAAATTATTTTCAGTTCATTACCTTACGCTGCCATGACTCAAGTTTCTTGTAAAAATGAAAATCTGGTTGAAGTTTTTTCCATTTCATAAATGGCTTGGAACAGCAGTGTGTAATTTATAGCCTTCTGAATCCAAGGATAATTTATATCATTAGCAAGCAAAATTCCTTAAACATTTGTTGTCTCCAATGGTGGAATGTTTTTTCCTAGCTCTCCTGCATTGCATAGAAGGTGCACTGCACAAGAGACTTATTTTCATGTGGCTTTTCCTCCCTTTCCCAGGATGACATGCAGATCAGAGTTTTTAATTACAACACCCTGGAGAGAGTTCACATGTTTGAGGCTCATTCTGACTACATCCGATGCATTGCAGTGCACCCCACGCAGCCCTTCATCCTCACAAGCAGTGGTGAGAGTCCTTTGCAATGTTTTCATCTTCAGCTCTTTTCAGGCTTCTGTTTCCTGGGGACTGAAGGCTTGCAGGTCTTCTGGGGAAGACTCAGGGTTCCTTGAGCAAGTAGCCAATGTGACATTTGTGATTTTGTTGTTTCTTGGTAGATGCATTCATGTTTTTTTAATGGAATATCAACTGAACTTTAAATTTAAAATGTAATGGCTTGTGTTCCCATCAGAGAAGAGCAAAGAGCCTTCTCTCTTAATATCTGCCAGGGGAAACATTCATCTATGTGCTAATTAGTGTGGCAAACCCTCAAGTAACAGCTCAAGTTGTGTTTTTTAAAAAATTTCATTGTGGTTTGGAGTAAGTTTTTAGCTGGGAATCTGACTTGAAAGCAACAAACAGCTTTCATCTCCCTGTGGCCCTTCTGCAAGGACTGGTAATCCTATAGATGCATATAGATTATTAGCAGTGCCTCCTTTCCAGCCTGTAACATGAAGTTCTGGAGGATGATGCAGTTTAAGGAGATAGTTATCACCCACTGATTGGTTCTCTGTTGTTTGTGGTTTTTTCCAGACGACATGCTGATCAAACTCTGGGACTGGGATAAGAAATGGTCTTGTTCTCAGGTGTTTGAAGGACACACCCATTACGTCATGCAGATTGTCATAAACCCAAAAGACAATAACCAGTTTGCCAGTGCCTCTTTGGATAGGACAATTAAGGTAGAGAAACTATATTTGGGGTTTTTAGTTATTAAGTGATTATCAGTGTACACAAACCAATAATCCTGTGTGGATGATAGGTCAGTGTTCTTAAAAGCAGGTGCAGTAATAGAATTTTTACTGAACAAAGACCTGGATATTGGTCCAGGCACCTACTAAGTAATCCAGTAAATTTACCAGATTACCTGTTGTCTCTGATGATTGGAAAGTAATTAATTTAACTCTTCTGAGTGCTATATCTCCATTTGGACTACAAAGAAACATGGGAGAGGAGTAATAGTTTTACTGTCAGTGAGTGATTTGGGAATATTGAAACTGTACACTGGATAAACATTAACGGTGCATTAAAAATAAAAAATTAAACCCTGGTAAAAGGGTCTCTCCCATTACTTTCATGTCCTTGGCTGTCCATGCATGGAATTGTTCCCAGAGATGCCTTTAGCCTTCTCATGGTCTCATTGGCTGTGCAGCTGTTACTGAATATCTGTGACTACAGATTTGCAGCCACTGAGCACTGCCACCTCCTCACATTTCCTGTGCATTATCAATATATTGGCTGTAAAAAACCAGCACTGATTTCAATGGCCACATATGAGATGTTGAGATCAGGTGCACGTCAGTGTTGATTTGATGTGATAAACATGAGAAAACACTAGTATATCTACACTTGACTTGCTTCATTTTGTATCCTCATTTAATATGAGATTTGTTATTCTTTAGTGTAACTGGAAAAATTAAAATTCAGGACAGTTGGAGGAAACTCGTGTATAATAACAATTAGTTACTAGTTAGTTTTATAAACAGTTACTAATTCTTAAAAGCAGTGCTTTATATGGTTTCATGTACTTAAAAAGAAGTTTAAAGCAACTAATTTCATTGTTCATTGCAGAGCATGGGCAATTCAGCATGTTATTTGTGTTTATTGAAGGACTGGTAGTTTGCTGAGCAGTTGTTGAGGTTTTTCACCTAAAAAAACACCCGTGTCTTTGGAATTTTGTGTTATTTCTCTTTGGACTTGTGAAGTACTTCTGGATACCTGTTGTGTTTGCCAAGGGTGACCTGGACACAGAAGGCTGCTGAGTACAGGTGGTTGTGTTTTTTTTGGTCAGGTGTGGCAGCTGGGATCATCCTCTCCCAACTTCACCTTGGAAGGCCACGAGAAAGGAGTGAACTGCATTGACTATTACAGTGGTGGGGACAAGCCATACCTCATTTCTGGGGCAGATGATCGTCTGGTGAAGATCTGGGACTACCAGGTGTGTGCTCAGCTCTTCAGGAGCCTTTGTGCAGGCTGTCACATCTGGTATAAAGTTCCTGTTAGATTTATTTCCTGTGACAAATTGATTCCCTGCCTTTTAGGCCTCTTGATTGTGGATTAAGCTGTTCCTCTTCTATATTCAAGTGTGAATGTTGCTAATGTATCAACTCTTTACATTCTTCCACCTCTTCTTATTCTTCATTCTTTATAGCTTCCCCCTCTCCTGTTTCATCCTGTGGACATTGACACAGTCCCATGTGCTGCATGCACACACATGCAGTGCTACCTCCAAAGAGGGCAGGAATGATCAGGTGCCCTGCTTGAGTGCTCCTCAGGAGAGATCTAATCCAGGGATTCAGTTCTGGTGCTGGAGCCTAGAACTCCCAAGTTCTTCCTGTGTACAAGAGCCTGAAAGGCCAGAAGGGCAAGACAGAAGTTGTAAGGTGGTACTTTCTGGTCGTTAAAACTTCTTGCCCTGGAGTCTATACTAGCCCAAAAGTTGAAGCTGGCACTGTTAATTTAAGCATTCAATGCAGTCATGAATGTCACACAACAGTGCTTGAGATTTTGCCACAGTGCAGCTGGAAACACTGTACATGCTCCAGTCTTAGTTACCTCAAACAGAGTAGCCTCTCTCTCACACCTGTGTGAATGAACATTCTTACCAAAGACCTAAATTAGATCTGTTTTCACCTGTAATGCAATGTTTGGTTTTGATCTTTTTTGCAGTGTGCTCAGCTTTCCATCTTGCTTTAATCTGTTGTGCTATGCAGTTCTGAGAAAGCATATTTTCTAGCCATAAATACATCTGAAAATAGAGGAAAATTCCTCTGTCAAGGGAAATATTTTCTTATGGGCAGGAGGTACAACTCAGTACAATCACAGCTTTTAATAGCATAGTGCTGTTGTTTGAATACCTTGCAAATGTAAGAAATCTGGAGAATTTTCAGATCTATTTTGGATTTGGGGGCATTTTTTTTAAGAAATAAGGATTAAAATATGGCATTGTGTTCTCTCTTTCTTTCAGAATAAAACCTGTGTGCAGACATTGGAAGGCCACGCTCAGAACGTGTCATGTGTCAGCTTCCATCCGGAGCTGCCCATCATCATCACTGGCTCTGAAGATGGTAACTTTGGGTTTTCTGGTGTAGAAAAGACAGGAAAAGAAAAGAAATGAGGGGAGAGCTCTTGTGGTGGTGTGGCTGCACCCCTGCTGCCCTCACACTGGGCTGAAAGGATCCATCCCTTTGCTTTCCCCCAGGCACGGTGCGGATCTGGCACTCCAGCACTTACCGCCTGGAGAGCACCCTGAACTACGGCATGGAGAGGGTGTGGTGTGTGGCCAGCCTCAGGGGCTCCAACAACGTGGCTTTGGGATATGATGAAGGCAGCATTATTGTTAAGGTACAGTTCATGGTTTGAAGTGAGAAATTGTGATTCATTGCTGTCTGGTGTGCACAACAACTGGTTTCTGATTTTGGGATTTTTTTTCTATTTTTCTGTATTTTCGGCATTTTTTTTATAGAGATTGGCTATTTCAATTCATATTTTCAACTGAAAAAAAAAATCAACAATGCATTTTTTCCATAGCCTAACTTCTTATTTACTTTCTAGCTTGGTCGTGAAGAACCTGCCATGTCCATGGATGCAAATGGAAAAATTATTTGGGCTAAACATTCCGAAGTCCAACAGGCTAACTTGAAAGCGATGGGAGACGCTGAGATCAAAGATGGAGAGAGGTTGCCACTGGCTGTGAAGGATATGGGCAGCTGTGAAATCTATCCTCAGACGATCCAGCACAACCCTAATGGACGGTAACACACTCCTTTATCACTTCTCTTGAACTGGTTGGGGCTTTTTTGTTAACAAGCTCAAATAAAAGGGATCCAAGGTACAAGAGCTGCTCAGTGGAGACCAGAAGGAGCATGATTCAGGAAGGAAATGGAGTTCCATGACATTTTAGGAATATATAAAGCCCATGCTCTGTGTTTCAGTGATTACCTTGGACATGGGAGCCTTTACCTTTACAGACAATTTCCTTCTTGCTGCTGCCTGTTGACCTGAACACAGATATCTGTGCCTCTTTCTCCTGCCCCAGGTTCGTGGTGGTATGTGGTGATGGTGAATACATCATTTACACAGCCATGGCTCTGAGGAACAAGAGCTTTGGTTCTGCACAGGAGTTTGTGTGGGCACATGACTCTTCAGAGTAAGTCTTTCAAGTTTTTTCCTTTGTATTACATTTGCTGGTGCTACTTTAGTTTAGTTTTCAGGCCATGAAGACCAAAACATGCATGTAAAGTGAACTTTCAACAGTTGTCCTGCTTGAAAAGTTTGGATTTTTAGAAGATAACTCAAAGGCAGTTGTTCTGTAGCAGCTTATGGTTTAGTAATATACTACTTTGGAAACTGAATAATAGTTTTGTTTATTTACAATTTAATCTCTATTTAGGTATGCAATCAGGGAGAGCAACAGTGTTGTAAAGATATTTAAAAATTTCAAAGAGAAGAAGTCATTCAAGCCTGATTTTGGAGCAGAAGGTAAGTACTTCAGAAATAGATGTGCTGGTGTGGTTTCTGCACAACATGGATTTCCTCCACCTTTACTTTCCTGCAGGCATCTACGGTGGCTTTTTGTTGGGAGTCAGATCTGTCAATGGCCTGGCATTCTATGACTGGGAGAACACAGAGCTGATTCGCAGGATTGAAATCCAGCCCAAACATGTAAGGTTCTGCATGGGACTGAAGACACTTACCTGTCTGGGTTTAGAGATTTATATTTTTTTTACTAAACTAATTTTCTTGCATGAAGCCAAATTGTCAAGAATAAAGGAGTAATTAAAGTTTATCTAAGTCATGTAGCAGAAAGGGCAAAGTACCTGTCAGAAAAAGTGGCAGCAGCCCAAGAAACACATGAAGGTGTCACTGAAGATGGAATTGAAGATGCCTTTGAGGTACCTTCTATTTAAAAAGTGGAATAAGATTAGAGATGGTAGAAGCAAGAGAATACAGCAAACTTAGTCCTTAACATAGTCCAATTGAAATGATAGTTTCCAGACCATTTTTAGTATCACACATTGTGCATCTGCCTGAGGAACACTTAATCATTTTTTTGGGATTCCTGAGGAGTGTATCCCTGTCTGAATCCCAGCATAACAGACCTTGATGCCTGCATTTCTCTCATCTGTTGTCAGAGAATTACAGAGATTATTTTTATAACACACTTTTGGGTCATTGCTTAATTATTCTTTTTCTACAGTTTTCAAGTTTTGAAATGTTATTCAAGTTTGAGCAGTGAAAAAACCTCATGTGGTAAAATGTCAGAAATCAAAATTTCAGAAGGAAAGTTATCTTTGATTGTCTTGCTTAATGCTTAGTTTGGTGCTTGTTTCCTAGATTTGTAATTGGCTTACTTAACAATTAGGGTAGCATGCATATAAAACTAAATTATCATTTATGTAATTCTAATCTATATCTAAACTTATATTTGCAACTTGCCCAACTATTTAAGTATAAAATACGGAATTATATTTTAAATGCAGTAGTCTCTCTGCTACCTAGAAGTACCTTTTTGTGTATGTAATTACCCAGTTTTTGCTTTGCAGGTTCTTGGTGAGATCCAGGAGATTGTGAAAACAGGTCTGTGGGTGGGTGACTGCTTCATTTACACCAGTTCTGTGAACAGACTCAACTACTACGTTGGAGGAGAGATTGTCACCATTGCCCACCTGGACAGGTGAGCTCCTGGTGAAACCCTGGCAGCTGCTGCTGTGCCCTGCTTTTAGCACAAGGTGGGAACAAGTTTGGTGTCCTGAGGCAGCAGTGCAATTCTGAGGGATGAACAATGCTGTGTGAAAGAGTACATCCAGGAAGAGCAGAGTATTTGATGGGGTATTCTTGCTACCAAAATAACTGCTGGAATGTTTTTGTACAGTCTGTTTGTGTGCATCTGCTGAAGCTGAGTGCTCTTTGTTTTGTTTCAGAACAATGTATCTCCTGGGGTATATCCCGAAGGACAACAGGCTGTATTTGGGAGATAAAGAGTTAAACATTGTTAGTTACTCTCTGCTGGTCTCAGTGCTGGAGTATCAAACTGCTGTGATGAGGAGAGATTTCGGCATGGCTGACAAAGTTCTTCCCACAATCCCAAAAGAACAGAGAACCCGGGTCGCACATTTTCTTGAAAAACAGGTAAGAAAGCTACTTCTTAGTTATCCAACTAAATAAAGCAGTTTATTCACATTCTTAATTACATTTGCTAAGCAAAACCCAATGATAGTATCTGTGAGCATTGACTCTTGTTAATTATCCTGTTTGTTTGAGAACCTTCTGTTCAGAGTGCTTTTGTTAACGTATTTAGGATTATGTTAGACCTGACAGGTCCCAGCTTCACTGTCAGACTTTTATTTTAGGGGTTCAAACAACAAGCTCTTGCAGTATCTACAGATCCAGAGCATCGTTTTGAACTTGCTCTTCAACTTGGAGAATTAAAAATAGCCTATCAGCTTGCAGTGGAAGCAGAGGTAATTACATAAATTTGAGTGATTCATTCTGGATTCTGAGTATTAGCAGGAGTCTGAGAGGCCCTGTAAGAAAAGGTAGTGGTATGTGGGGATGCAGTACAACTCCCTAAACACAACTGAATTGCCTCCAACTCCTTTGATGAAGTTCTTCTGCCTGTAATTCAAGGGAATGTAAGTTGTGGGATGGGGACAAAGAATGGTGTCTGCTCAGAAAGCACAGGAACCCCTGGAGAATACAAAACTTGAGCCCAGAACCAAGCCTTAATCTCCAGTAGTTAACAGTGAGAGGAGGAAAGCCTTCACACCTTTGTTCCAGCCTTGGCAAACTTACACTGCTGCAGTAAAAAAACTCACAGGCAGTGATTTGTCCTATCATTATTATGTAGAGAATCAATCTCATTGTTCCTGCTGTAAAATAATCAAGTTATTTAGAAGGAATGGTAACTTAGTTACAGACACAAATGTCTTGCAGCATTCTGAGAGTTAACTTGGGAGCTTTAAGAGATTTTTATAGTTCGATTTCCAGTTATGTCTGGCTCCCCCCTCCATGTTTAGTGAGAAGCTGTTTATATATTTTGTTATGTTACAGCTGGGTAGGGATCTCTTCACCCTCACTGGGAACATGTCCCGCTGGGAAGCTGTAGCAATTGCAGTAACTCAAAGGGAAGACAGGTGTAGTCATGGGATACAGCACCTTCACAAGCCAACTTATATTTTCATACTGAGTGCTATGAAAACCTTTAAATGCTGTTCAGGAATGTGAGTGGTTTGGTTTTTTTCTTTCCCTCCCTCTCCCCTTTTTGTACAATCAGTCAGAACAGAAGTGGAAGCAGCTTGCAGAGCTTGCCATCAGTAAATGCCAGTTTGGCTTAGCCCAGGAGTGTCTCCACCATGCCCAAGACTATGGAGGACTGCTGCTCCTGGCCACAGCTTCAGGGAATGCCAACATGGTGAATAAGTTGGCTGAAGGTGCAGAAAAGGATGGCAAGAATAACGTGGCATTTATGAGCTACTTCCTGCAGGGAAAGTAAGTAGCAAATGAGCTTCTGACTGTTCTGTTTGCTTTCTCAAGTGTCAAGACCCTCAGGTTCTTCAAGAGGTTAACTACAGCTAACTGAAAACTTCATGGAGAAAGATGGGCATAGGTCCTTCTCAGAAAAGCTCTTTCTATGATGGCTGCTAGATTTAAAATCTGAAATGAAAGCACCTTAAATTAATGGAACAGAATAAACAGCTGTTCTAATACAAGAATTTGTCTTTAATAAAGTTTACTGGTTGGAATCACATTTTGAAATCTTTTAGGCTTGATTCATGTTTGGAACTCCTGATCAAAACTGGGCGTCTCCCTGAAGCCGCTTTCCTTGCACGGACGTATTTGCCAAGCCAAGTTTCAAGGTAATTTCTAAGCATATGCAGAGCTTGAGTTGTGTTGTCTGAGTGAGCTGTCTTTAACAAATCTGGTTTGCATCTCCAGGGTTGTTAAACTCTGGCGGGAGAACCTCTCTAAAGTCAATCAAAAAGCTGCCGAGTCCCTTGCTGATCCTACAGAATATGAAAATCTTTTCCCTGGATTAAAGGAAGCTTTTATTGCTGAAGAGTATGTTAAGCAAAGTCTTGCTGACTTGAGGCCAGCCAGGGAATACCCCCTTGTCACTGTAAGTAGAAGGTTTTACTGTCTTGAGAAGAAAAACATTTGGTGCTGTGCAAAATCAGCTCTAAGCAACTCAGTGCAACACTTAAATGTCTCTGGGGTTTTTTACTTTTAGCCAAATGAAGAAAGAAACTTACTTGAAGAAGCAAAAGGATTTGAGCCCTCTGGAATAATGACATCTCAGGTCAGTGAGTGATGAATAAGGGAGAGCTTTGCTGTCTTACAGTAAGATCTACCCTGGAGTATATTTCACCAGGAATGGACAAATTGTTGCTTTTATTACCTTGACTGTAAGTGCTGAAGTTGCCTTCATGTTTTTTTGCCTCAGATTCTTCTTAATCTACATCTGTACCTACTAACAGCTTCTTGACTGAAATTATTTGTGTACTTCCTTTCCTTGGGTCACCCTTTGTAGTGTGAGTAATTGTAGAGCCTTTCCATTGAATTCATCCTACAGAAAAATAACTCTGCTTGCATTTACAAACACTGCCTCGACTGCAGCTGGTTTTCTAAAAGCTCAGTAGCTGGAAATGGAAACTCGCCTATTACAGCAGTGACAAAGTCTCTGTGTTCTTTGCTGGTGTGCTGCATGGTTGTGAAATAATGCTGCTCCACAACTAACTGACCAGGAATCGTACTTGGATACTTGAACATAGGTTCTTATCAGTATCTGAAGTAACAAACTCATTTTTTTACCACCACAGTTGTCCAACTCTTATGCAGAAAAAAGACAAGGTATAAGCATACACTTGAAACAAAGCCTTTTCAGAGCCTTAGGAGAAGATGACAACTTCTGATTTTGCTCAAGTCAAATACACTTTACATGTGTATGTGAAAATCATTATGTGAGGATTTCTTAAAGGTAGTGATGGTGGCACAACTCTTTAAGGCTATAAACATCTAAAATCAAAATTGCACTGGAAACTGAAGGAGAAACAGAAAAGCTACAGCTCTCCATTGTCTGTACATTTTTCCCTATAGGAGATGTGCTACAAAACATAGTTTTGAACATCCCTGATGGAGCAGAGAGGTTACTTTCAAGCTTTTGTAGTGACTCTGCCTCTTGTGCATCCACAGAAATACCATTAAAGCAAAGTCAGACTTGTCTGCACATTTGATAAAGATGATAAACAACCCTGTCAAGGCTACTTATGGAAATAAATGAGAACTAGCTTGCCACAGAAGCTGAAAACAAGACTTCTGTATCTGCATTCAGCTCATGATTGCATAGAAGCCCTAAACCCCAGTTCTCTTACAGCTGAGACTAATTATGGGATGTTTTGTAGGAGATAGTTAATTCTGTAATTAAATACAGTTAATTGAATAGCACCAGTGCCTTCAATAATACTACTGACTGATGAATTACCTTAATATAAAACTTGTGCAGCAGTGAAGCAACAAGTATTAAACTATTATAGGATTTGGAACAGAAAGCACAGCAACTACTAAAATTTGCTGTCAGTCTCAACTAACTTGATCTCTCCTGCTGAGGGTGTTGAAAATCACTAACAGCACTTCAGTATTTAAAATGAACTGATGATTTCTGAAGGTTCTCATTTTATCAGTTCTATCAACTGTTTCAAATATACTGGGGAGAGAAATAGTCTCCAGTGGAGTGAGGACTAGAATCCTTTCTGACAGTGAAGATGTGGCTCAAGAATAAGTGAGGGAAGTAGAAAAAGAACCACTGGGAAAGGGTTCTCTTTTAGAGAGAGATTATAGGTATGCTGTTGTTTACCTGCTTTTGTTGAAAGAATTTAAATTGAAAAAAAACTAAAGGAATTTTTTTGCCATTAGAAGAAGGCTGAAGAACCAGTTCCTTCTCCTAAACAAGAAGTGATGAAGACAGTTGTGCAGAATTCTGATAACCTTCCAGCAAGAGATCAAAAGGTACTCAAAGTTTTCTGAGGGGAAGTATAAGCACTCAATTCATTTTACATTAATGAGTGTGATTTAACCAAGGAACTCCAGAGATGACTCTGGCAGTCCCAGAACAGCGTTCAGAGCCCAGCCCTGCGTGTGCAGACACTGCACAGTCACAGATCAGTTCAGCAGATGGGCTGACATGGGGCAGTTCAAACCCAGCTGCTCAGAGCATGGAAAAACGCTGTGGTGGTGGAAGAGGCTTCCTCACCAAGGAGGCAGCTGCTCTCCAGCTTCCTTCAGCACTCATGTTCCTCATGAGGCCTTGGTTGGGGTTTGCAGAGTGCAGCTCCATCCTGTAAGCTATATCCTGTATACATGTAACCATAGCAGCACCCCCTTCATCCAGTCTTTTCTCTCCCTAGACACTGCTGGACTTGGAAGATGACTTAGATAACTTGGATCTGGAGGATATTGATACCACAGATATCAATCTGGATGAAGAGATCTTAGATGAGTGAACATCCATTTTTAGTTGACCAAATCAGGAAATAATTTGGTCAAAACCCAGAGGAATGAAGTTCTGTGGACTAGGTGCTCCAAGTTACTTTGATTTTTATATCACAAGTGGACCATGTACAAGGAAGTACGGAGCCAGCAACTGTACAAAGAGAATCACCTTCCAGTATGTTGAAATTCAAGATGTTGGCCTGCTCCAGAACATACTAAAAAATGTTTTCATTTATCAAGCAATTCAATAAATCCTTTTAAACATTCTGCTCCTCAGCTCTCCATTTACTAGCAATATTTACTAAGAATAGCAGAATTCTTGTGAATAACCCAGCTTCCATAGTGTATATTCCAAATCTGTGAAACAGGAGCACAGTAACTGAAAAATAGTATTTTAACCTGACTTTTCTCAGCACTTACACAGAGGTATGTGGTTATGTTTTTACTGTGCTGCCATCTAGCACTGGTAACCATCAGTATCAGCTTAGCTACTCTTTCAGACACCACTTCTAGCAAAAAGCTCCAAGAGAGCAGTGGTACAGCTTAAGGGTTAGAAATAGTTAGAAATTGTTACAACACCCTTTCCTATATGAAGCTGTCCAGACCCTGCACTTAGCTTAATAACTAAAATTAATTGTGGGCAATTCTTTAGATTCAAGATGTAACAGTAAAAAAATTGAACTCAGGGTACAGTGTCAGTGAAAACAAAGGTCATGATGGCTGCTCTAAGTTCACTTACAGAACTTTTCAAAATAAACTGCTGTAGTGAGTCACATGTATTTCAGTAAAGAAAAATACATTCTAAAGCAGTCATTTTCAAGTATTTATTGTGGAATCCTGTACAGAAAATGTTTATAAACAGACTTAAAACTTCTGATGAGCTGAGGTTTACTTCACGAAGCTGAAGAAGTAGCCATTGCTTCTTCATAAGCCTGCAGGGCAAGCTGGATATAACCTTCTCTCTGGGATTCAGTTTTTACAAATACCTGCAGCCATGGCAGGAGAGAGGTTAATTAACAACAGAGTCATCATGCCAGTGTCAGATAAGCCTCCCACAACTGAAATCCTGGTGCAGCTGTACATACATACAGTTTAACAAAAACCCCAGCCTGTTATGTACAACAGTTCTGGTTAAATATCTGCTTCCTAAGGTGAGGAGAACTTTAACTACTAAATGGGGTTCTGCTGGTTAGAGGCTCTCGTCTGCAGGTTAAACAGTTTAAAGCAGAAAAGCTTACCTTGATCAGATCAACTCCTCCAAGTTTCCCTTCTTTAGCTTCCTTTGCTGACTGACATTCAGGGTGAAGCATATGATACAGTGTAATTAAACTTGTAGCATCCTCCAGCCTGAACAAAGAAAGGCTCATTTTAGCACGTCCTTTCTCTTCAGAGTATTTCCAGAGAGTGTATTTTGTGACGTACTGTGCACAGCACAGGTTGCCAAACTGCTGGTTCCACTGAGTACCCAGTCCCTGGACTACACAGGCAAATGCCTACATCTGTCCCTCCTGCAGCTGAAGCCTGATGGCCTGCTCAGCAGTAATACAGCTGACATCCCTCTGAAAATACAATTAATTTCCAATAGTGAGTGTTTAGTGAACTTTCTAACACAGGCTGCGATGACCAGTATGTTTTACAGAAGTAGCATTAGAAATCCTGTGACACAGAGCTCTCAGGTGAATTTAAAATGACTGAAGTGTGTGGAAGGGAAAGACATTCTAAACTCTGCATATTTAAATTGGCCAGATACATGAATTTTCCTTTTACTGATTCTAAATCTGATTCTAAACCAGGAATCTTTCTGATTTCTCCATATGCTCAGGTTTAAGAGCAAGATCTGACCACTGAAACAGCAGGAAATAAATGCCACCATCACTGCAACTTCTGATTGTACAACTTTCTCTCAGCTCTAGTATGATCTATTGAATATTGCTCACTTCATGGAACTTTGAATAAATTTAGTACTGTATTTTACAGAAATCCACCCATTTAAAATGAAACCTTATCTACATGTTCCTAAGCTACTTAGGAACTGTAATTAGGAATTGCTCTAAAACCCATAGTGTATCAACCTTATAAGCCAAAACTGAGCTCAGTATGAAAACATTAGGCTTTAAGATCAGCAGTGCTCAGAGCTAGAACTATCCTCACAATTACATGGGAAACAAAAAAAAACCCCACAAACAAAAAAGAAAAACAAAGGTGCACCCTCCAACTTCATGGACTGTTCCTGGTGCTGCTGTACAGTACCTGTACAGCTAATAGAGCTGGTCTAAACCATTATGCAAATGGAAACTTTCGTCCATCTGACAGAAATACTGTTTTTATTGCCAAACAGTGGTACTTGTTCTAAGGCTAAGCAGGATTACCCAATGCCAGCCTGTACTCACAGGTCTCTGTTGATCATGTCTATGAGTAAGCCATCTGTCTTCTTCCTGCTGACCAGGTACCACACCATGCCCCCGAAGTGCCTGGTTGAGCGCAGCAGGTCGTACTTGGCGTGTTTCTCGATGTCCTCGTAGGTGCGGTGGTGAACCTGCACACACAGGGCTGTTTCACTGCACAGCTGGAGCCTGGTGACAGCTTTCCCCTGCACCTCTCTGAGCTTTTAATCCTTTTCATTTCACTAAGGTGCAGGAGTAAGCCACATGCTGAACCATATGCCTGTTATAATTCAGGGTAGCACTGGGCTAGCCCAGGCCTTGGTACTTAGGCATAGCTAAGTATCCCTAGCTGGTCCTGCCAGCTCCCACCAGCAGTCAGTGTGACTTCAGCAGCACAACCCTGCTAAGAGCCCCTGACAAGTGTTACCCTCAATTCTGCTTTGATACCAGAAGTACCTGAATAAGGACTATTTTTGTATGTGCACTACCTTTCTAGGCTGGTGAAAATTACTTGTGCAAGATCCTGTTTTACTGTTCTGCATAAAAATAAATGCCAAAACTCATCACAAGGATAATCTATATGGGAAAATTAGAGCACATATGACCAACACCTCCACTCCCCAGACAAATATTTATGTTTACAAAATAAACCCTACAACTCTCCAGCAGGATTTTTTTTTTGCTAAAAAAGGGAAAGTGAACTCACTCTGATATAGTCAGGGGAATCTGGCTCAAATTGTGCAATGCACATGTTCAGGACATCTTCATGACGGTCTTGCTGAAATACAGTCTGAAATAACAGTTTAGATTCAGAAATAGATTATGTAATCACACCATCCCAACTCTCCAGAATCAAAAACAGCAGATATAACACTGTTCTGGGCAACACTTACAGTGAGTAAAATGGACAGAAGTACAGTAACTGCCTCGATGACATAATGTTTCTTCATTTTTAATTCTGAAACACCAGTTCACATTTCCAGATTAAATGTGCTATTGTTTCTAGTGTAACACAGTATTTACACCTACCCAGGACTTACCTGGTCCTAACCTGGAACTTTGTTTCAAGTATTTTAACCAAGTTACAATGAAAGACGACTGTTCAAAATGGAATTCAAGCAGCTAAACACACCCACGCAGAATGGCTTATTCCGAGTTACTCTGCCCAAAGAGCAGAGATTCACTGTCAGACTGCAATGAAGTGAAAGTGCTCAGTTTCAAAGCCAGGAAGAGCTTACCCCTAGGTTTTCATCCTTGAATAATGTGGGGGGAATCACCCTGCGCCCTTCCTTTGGGAAGAATATCTGGATCATCCTGTCTCGTTCCTCCCAGGTGGCTTTGCGTAACACTCCGTTTGGTTCTCTAACTACAATGAAACGTTCCTGGAAATGAGATAAAAACCAAACATTGTCTAAAGCCTTCTCTTTTCATAGCCAGAACCGTCCCAAAAAACCCCTCATCTGTCAAAGTCCTTCTACTCCTAAAGTCACCCTAGTAACACCAGCTTCTAACGGACTGCTGCAACGCGCCAGATTCATCATGTCTGCCTTTCTACCTGCTTAAGTACTGCTTTTGCACTCAGTTTTACTGTCTGACCACCATGCATGTGCCAACACGGAGCACTACAACTCTGAGAAGTTTAGAGATAACATAACTCACACCCAGACAGGCAGTTATCCTGATTTTATCATTTGATAATCCATACATAATTAGGAATGCAACTGTCATGTGCTTTTTTACCTTTTAGGTGCTAGAATCAACTAAGGGCAAGTGCAAGGCAAAAAAAATACAACAAATTAAACAATATACTCAGATCTGTTCACAAGTAGAATTGCTTTAGGGTGGCAAATGGGAAAGTTTGGTTGACAAGGAAGTTTTCAATAAGAAGCAGCGGTTCATTTCACAGGACCATCGCTATATCCGTATTTGAACCATAAAGGCTTCTTGGGACTTAAAACTTTGTTAAGAATTTTTCCAGTCTCTTATTACTGGTACTTAAAGACAATTAAGATGTCTCATTACACAAAGAAAACTTTATCCCTATACTCCCCAATTCAATTAGACAACTATTTCTTTACAGATTTCCTGGGAATTCATTCATCATTTCCACCAGCTTTCCACCAGACCTTTGCAACTGTGGAGTAGTTCCACCTTACAAAGGAATCCAATGCTACAGAAAGCTTCTAGGAGCATGGAGAAACTCAGCACTCCTAGCATATCACAAGCACCTGCTTATAAAATAATTAACTACCTACCACACAGCTTTCCCCATGCCTGCTTTTGAGTAGCAGAATGTAATTTATGATTATCAGTTAGAAGCAAGTACATAGAAATACATTTTTCTCTACTGCCTTGTACCAGACTGAATTTTCAACTCCTCAGCCCTTTTGCAAACTGATCCATCTACATTTTCATTAAAGCTTATTTTGAGAACAAATTCATACTGTTGATCACAGTACTTACACGATGTGGAATGGAGTAACTTAAATCTGTAAACACATATTTTGCAGTTTCAGTTCCTTCAAGGATTTTGTCTTCTGCTAAGACATCATCAATTGGCTCTCGTTCATCCAAAACAGGGGGCATGATTAGTTTTGTTTTAGCTTCCTCAATGGCTTTTCTTGTGGCCTTGTAGGGGAAAAAAAGTAGTTTAATCTTACAATTAAAAATATCATCCTATTGGAAAGATAACATACAATCTGGGGACAAATAGTTTCATTTAGAGAAGCCAGTTTTTTTAATTCTGCAGTTGAGAAAAAAGTGAGACACCAATTCCACCTCCAGGTAGGTAAATTTCATGTTAACAATTTACCACTACTAAAACCTGGACAAAATGCTGGAGGAAGTTACAAAACTACAACAGACAAACTACTGCAAGCACCA